TCTCTCTCTCTCTCTCTCTCTCTCTCTCTCTCTCTCTCTCTCTCTCTCTCTCTCTCTTTCTCTCTCTCTCTCTCTCTCTCTCTCGCTCTATCTCTCTCATTCTCCCTCTCTCTCTTTCTTTCTCCCTCTCTCCCCTCTCTCTCTTTCTCTTACTCACCTACTCACTCTCTCTCTCTTTCTCTGCATAGGCGAGATACTGCCCGGCGGTGCCGACTACTTCTCCCTGAAGCCGCTCTTCGTCAACGAGTACATGCTGGTCACGTCGAAGCTGCTCGATCGAGAAGCGATGCCGGAATACAACCTGACAATCCGCGTACGCGACATGGGCGAGCCGAGTCGGTCGTCGTCGGTCGTCCTGCGCGTCGTCGTCACCGACGAGAACGACAACCCGCCGTCGTTCAACCAGTCGCTGTTCGTCGCGCGCGTCGCCGAGAACAACGACGTCGGCCAGGTCGTCGCTCGCGTCGTCGCCACCGACCGCGACGAGGGACTGAACGCGAAGATGCGCTACCACATCCCGCCGCCGCACGATATCGCCTTCGGGATCAATCCTCTAACGGGAGTGATCACGACGCGGGCGAGGTTCGACCGCGAGGAGACGCCGTCCATCGACGTGAAAGTGATCGCGAGCGACAGCGGCGATCCGCCGCGCCTCGCGTCGACCGTCGTTCGCGTGCAGTTCGCCGACGTCAATGACAACGCGCCGCAGATGAAGCGCAAGTTCTACAGCTTCACGCTCGACGAGAACGAGCCGATATCGACGCTCGTCGGCTCCGTGCAGGCGACGGACGCCGACGTCGGCGACAACGGCGCCGTCGTCTACTCGTTCGACACGGCCGTGCTCGAGTTCAGCATCGATCCGGTCACCGGGGGCATCTACACGAATCGCAAGCTCGACCGCGAAAAGAAGGACACGTACACGTTCGTCGTGCGCGCGTCCGACCGCGGCGAGTCGCCGCGCCACGACCGTTCCAACGTCACCGTCTACATCAGCGACACAAACGACAACATTCCCGTCATCATCTTCCCGTCGGGCAGCGACAACGTCGTCTTCCTGCCCGAGACGGCGCCGGCGGGAAAATCCGTCTGCGTCGCCACCGCCTACGACGAGGACGAGGGCGAGGACGGTCGCCTGAGCTTCGACATCATGGACGGGAACGGCTACAGCATCTTCCGTATCAACGAGGTTAGCGGGGAGATCGTGACGACGCGGGCGCTGCGCGGAGACTGGATCGGACTTCACAAGCTCATCCTGAGCGCGCGCGACAACGGCACGCCGCAAAACGTCGCCATGACGGTGCTCAACGTCATCATACATCCGGGTAACGCGACGACCAACGAAACACTCATGTACCTGCTCAGCTTGCACCTGAAGGAGGATGTCGATGAAGTCCCGCTCGCTCGTCCGGGAAACGTGATGTTGATGATCATCATGGCCTGCGTGTCGGCGGCTCTCATCGCCGCCGTCATCATCCTCGTCATTATGTACCGACGCAAGAGCCGGGAGAATCTCGCCTACAACGTGCGCACAGAGGCGCAGCGCATCTTCCAGGGCCTCAAGCGACGCAAGGCGTCGTCGGCGTCCGACATCGAGGACGGACAGGGAGGGTTTGACGACGGCGGCGGAGAAGGAGGAGGAGGAGGAGGAGGAGGAGGAGGAGGAGGA